CAAAAGAAGACACTAAAAACAACACATTTCAAACAAATAACTGGATTTCTGTAATAGGCAATACATTCTGCAGCATTTATGTGTTGCTTTTGCCCTTCCTGTAGGTACCGAGATTACAGGAACAATGAGGACTACAGCCATACTGTTGAGTTTTGGCATATTCTTGCAGCACGCCTTTCCTTCCTTATCTTGTTTGAAGTAAGTATTTTTGTTGTAAAAGCTTTAGTATGTTAGTTTTCAGCTGAACATAAATGTGAGTGTGAAGGAACATTTACATTTAGGCTCCTTAAGAGTGTAACTTCATTGATCATAGCTTAGGGCAACATTTGTGGAATAATCTTGGGTCACATTCAGCCAAGTATGACCAGGGTATCCCCAACCACGCTTCTCATTCTCAAAGTAATGCACTCTGAAAAAGCTTTCATATATGAGAAGAAATAAATATACTCTGTTCCTTTTAGAGATGATTCCCTTGCTAACAGTCAGATCACATTCTGTAGAATATTGGACTTGGCAAAGCAGCAGGCAGTAGGGAATGGAGAAACTTTTTATTTTGTAGAACTGTTAAATTATTTTAAGTTTTGTGTTTCACTCTTTGTCCACAGAGCTCTGTATGTCCATGCAAATAAGGTTTGCATGCAAATAAGGATGTTGTTTGCCATCCAGGTACTGGACATTATAAGCCGTCTTAACTTTGGAGATGAAATATCTCTTTCAGTGTGTTCTGAGTCCAGGAACAGAAACTCTGCCAGTTAGCGAGGGGCAACTATCATGGACTTGACTATCTTTCCCAGGACTAAACAGAAAGTCTGTGTTGAATGATAATTGGGGCATCGCTTTAGATTTCCTCTGGACACGGCCTAATAGTGGGTTTATAATTGACTGTTCAGTCCTTTCACAGTCAGTGGAGGGACTTAGATTAATGTCGATCCATGACGCTTAGTTGCCATGATGTAGTAAAACACACAAGTGTCCAAAAGAACCAATGTAAAGCAGTTAAGAACAGCAGGTTGCTTACTGTTGGTAACCAACAATTATATTGATGAGTTACTTTTACATGGCATAGGGACTATTGTAATCAAGCAGTATATAAATTGCTTAAATGAACAAATTAGATGGTGATTGCAGTATGTCTCCTGTAAGGAATAAAATCTGATTCTGTTGGCTCTTTGCAGCATGTGGCCCTTTGCATCAAACTGATTGCAGCCTGGTTTGTGCCTGATGTCCCCAGGGGAATTAAGAACCTGCATCTACAAGAAAAACGTGAAAGGCTGTTGAAAAGACTCAGGTGTGTGTTTTATCCGAGTACGATTCTCTTGAGAGGCAAACAATGGACAATAAAGCTACAGGGAGCAGGCTCTTGAACTGCGGTGTTGTTTGGGGAGGGGGATTGTTGTTATTTATATATTTTTGGTATATTTATTTTCAGATCTTATTGTGATTTATATGGAAATTGTTCAGTTTGGTTGTGTACTTTTTGATGCATTTTATTTATTGTTTATAATTACTTTTTATGTTTGTAATGTAAATCATTTCATGCTGTAAGCCACCTTTAGCATGATTTTAACTATGGAAAGGCAGCATACAAATAAGATGATGATGCCTGGAATAGTCCCAAGTGGATAGCACTACAGCAGATGTTATGGCAGCAGAGATTAATTTTACTTGCTTTTTTTGTTGTACCGTTATCATTTAAATTTAGTTTAATTTAAGCCTGTATGTACTTCCAAGTTGAGCCCTATTGGGGTATTCATTTACAATGGGGATGGAGAAAAAACTCCACAGAACTCTGATTCCACATTGGCCTAATCTGATCAGAGCAGATCATGACCTGGATTAGATCAATAATGGAGCTTTTTGATGTTCCATCACTCACAGAGGGGATGTGACTGTTGTGTTTTTTGCATCATCACCATCATCTAATATGCCACCCACCTGATTGGGTTGCCCCTGCAAAAAATAGTAAAAACACAATACAACCTCAAATACTAAAAACTTCCCTTAACAGGGCTGCCTTCAGATGTCTTTTAAAAGTCACATAGCTGAGAGCAAGGGAATGTTATCAAGCCCCATCACTCCCAGGGCTTCAGTTGACGTGATTCCTCTGCTTAAGACACAAACACACCCTGCTGTATATCATGCCTACATCAGTTTGTCTCCTGGAAGCGACCTGTGGGAATATTTTTGTTCAATGTGCAAATAAATCCTTGATGTATCATTCTGTAAGGTGGTTCCATACAGCAGGTGGCAGTGAATTATGTTTTATCCCCACAGCTGAGATGGCTTCATGCTCTCTTACATGAAATTAAATATTCTTGTATTCTCCTTTCTATTTTAAATGCTTAAATGGCATAGGAAGGACCCTCATTGGCTTCCCTTCCAGGTATTAGTTAAGCCCACACCTCTTTAGCTTCGCCATTTCCCCCCTTGCAATTAAAATGCTGCATCTTCCAACTGAAATTGAGAATGGTTGTTTCTATGTATCTTAGAAGAATGGATGACTCCACAGAAGTATAGTGAAATGTCATATGAGAATGCTGGGATCAAGAGAAGAAATCCTCGAGCCAAGCATCTAGAAGAATGGTGCTGTACGCTTTGAAGATGTCAGCTGAACTCTGCAGGCGTTGCTTGATCTTTTGCTTACTGCTGCTCTTGGATTTTACCTCTTCACTGAAAGGAAACAATGCCATTACTTTGCATGGTAAGATTGTTTTGAATATTCAAGTGTTCCTAGGAGACTACAGGGTAGGAACAATGTCACATGTCAGAGCATGAGGCAGAAGTAAGCAGGAGCGTTTGCACTGTCAATAAAATAACACTCTTGCTATAAGGTTAAAATAATTTTGGTTACACCAAAACTTCCATGGTCTGCTGCCACCACTCATAACAGATTTGACACTTAACACCCATGAAACTCTCACAGCTGTCTCAGACTCACAGTATAAATCAACATGAAATCTCTTAACTCTCATGGCTCATAGGAATATATATTAATATCTTTTCATTTCCTTTATTACCTTGATGGTGCTCTTTGAGTGGAAAGAAATATATTGTTTGTATGACATATATTTCCTTTGTATAATTGAACAGCACATGTGCAATGTTATTTTTATAGGGGCTTTTTGTTTGTTTGTTTGTTTGTTTGTTTGTTTGTTTGTTTGCATCAAAGCCTCCAAACTGCTGTTTAAAGTTCAGGAGAACTGTTATTTTGAAGAGTTTCCATAATTTCTCTATCTGCTAACATCCTTTTAGAGATTACTCCCTTTAGCTTTTTAATGGTACACCATTTGATAAAAGTTTCTTTTGTGCTGGTTTATAAAAAGGGACCCAATTAACTGTCTACCTCATAAAGATGATGGGAAGTTTAATTCAGTTCTGAAAGCACTTTAAGGCCTTTACCTATATTGTAAACACTCTTGATTCTATCATTCCATCGAGCCACTAGGATAGTTGCCCTCATTGAAACTATGAATGAAACCCCTCAAAGGTGGCAATGTTTGTATTACCTCACTCAACTTTTTTACATATAAGTTGGGGTCAGATGTACCCACACATAAACTTCACAAGAATAGGTATATTTTTCCTTGGATTCTTAATTCATGATACTGTTAGAACCCAGTTTCTGACCAATCCAAAAATGTGTGTGCATTTACAAAGATTATATACAGTAGTTCCTTTATTAATTCACTCATCCTAAAGAGGCCAGCTGTTCATAGAACTGTGTATATACATCATTCTTAGACACAGCAGAACACTGGGCTTCGGTTAGCAGTTTCAGCCTGTTGCATCATAGAGCTACATGTGTAAGAAAAGCTGCTCTTGAAGAAATTTACTTTTACTTTTCTGCATAAGCACTAAAGGCACAAAGGCTGTGCTTCATTGGACAGTTATGTATTCTACAAAAACTGTTTTGTTTCATACCCCTTGTGCCTTCTTTCCAATCAAGTATCTAATAATACACAGAAATAAAGCACAATTTAAAAAAATTCCTGATCCAAAAAATGTTAAGGCTTCAGGATGTCTTTTAGATGTAAGTTCAAATGACTTGTGTCCCTTCACCTTTTATTATAATGGATTAGGTAGAACCGCTGAATTAATGTTGATATTCATATGTAACTTATAAACTTGACATTTGGATTCTCTTTTGTTCTTGTTTGCAAATGTTACATCTTACATGTATTGTTAAGTTACTTGTATTGGAACTAAATCATAGCACTGAGAATGTAAAGATGTAACATGCTAAAGGGCTCTTTTATCCTGTTTTTATCCTCAGCAAAATCCTTTGTGGATATCAATGATTGCAGTTATACTCTCTTGCTCCTGAAGTCATTTTTGCAATTTGTACTTTTGACTGAAAAGATCATGCAAATTTAAAATTCTTATTATGTACCTAATACCTATATTTTTCCTTTCCCCCCCTTTCTCTGACAAATTCTAAATTTAATTGCAAGTTAAGCTTCAGCAGCAATCACATGTTCATTCCTTGAAAGCCAATGGGACTTGGATTCTAGCTGAAACATATCTGTTTGAGAATCTCTATAATGCTGTAGTTCTGGAAGCATCTTGCTCAGGGAAGCGTCTTTAAAATTGCGCCTTATAGCAATATGAAGCTTTGGCTCTAGATTACTTTAACACAAATCCTTACATATTGAATTAGGGAACTTAATTTGTAATTCCTTAGGCTTTCTGTTTTTGTGTCATACTGTTTAAAGTTGTACTTTTAAAGAAAACACAGTTACTCTAAAATACTGTGCAATGTGTAATTTTTATCAAATGAAATTTTATACAATAAACTTTTTAAAACTTTTAAGCATAAAGATTGGACTGGCTTTATTTTAGTTTGGACAGAGTAGTCAGAAATCTTATGATTATAGAGAGACCTATCTTTTGAGGTTTTGTATCATAGGGTGCTGCGTATAGCTCTGGTATAAAAAAACCCCATGTGTAATGCAGGCCATAAGGGGAGTTGAAAATAAACCGAAAATGAGGACACCTTCTAATTGATGTAAGATAACTTTATTAAACATGTAACTAAACAGGGTAGTCTTGCACTCCACATGGAAACCTTAGGAACAATGTGTTTCAAAAACAGAATCTTGGATAGGCCACTAATGCAACATACAATAGTTGGTTTCCATTGCTGCCTTACATAAGAACATAGCAAGCTGCCTTATATTGAGTCAGACAATTGGTCCATGTAGCTCAGTATTGTCTACACTGACTGGCAACAGCTCTCCAGGATTTCACACATGGAGTTTTTCCCAGCCCCAAATGAAGATTGAACCTGGAACCTTCTGTATGTCCTGAAAGTGGAGCCAACTACAACTGATCTTTTATTTTTGTAAAATGTGTGTGATGTTTTTCTTAAGTTGTACCGAGTTCTGAAAAATAAAATAAAAAGGATATTAAAAAACATAATTCTTCAGCGATTATGGGCAGTGCTAATATGAAGTGGGACACTATACCTTGAAAGTCCCCTCGTTACATTATTGTTTTTATTTTTATAAGAGCATGCATGTATAGACTACAGCTTTCCCATAAACTCCAATTTTACTCTTTCTTTCCTTCACCACCCTGGCCGCAATGTATTAATTTTGAAAACTTCAATTTGGCAAGGTGCCTTCTGAATGACAAAAAACTAGAGTCTAGATCACGGGTAGGCAACCTAAGGCCCGGGGGCCGGATGCGGCCCAATCACCTTCTCAATCCGGCCTGCAGACGGTCCGGGAATCATCATGTTTTTAGATGAGTAGAATGTGTCCTTTTATTTAAAATGCATCTCTGGGTTATTTGTGGGGCCTGCCTGGTGTTTTCACATGAGTAGAATGTGTCCTTTTATTTAAAATGCATCTCTGGGTTATTTGTGGGGCATAGGAATTCATTCATATATATTTTTCAAAATACAGTCCAGCCCACCACATGGTCTGAGGGACGGAGGACCGGCTCACGGCTGAAAAAAGTTGCTGACCCCTGGTCTAGATATTACTTTTAATACCTACTTTGGTGCACTCCAGAGTCTGGAGACACTACTTTTATGGACAGTCCCTACAATGATGTGTCAGAGAAGCACAACAATACAATATAGACATCCTTCTTCTTGCCTGCACATGGGATTTGATGCTATAATGCATTGTTATACAGTGGTACCTCGCAAGACGAATGCCTCGCAAGACAAAAAACTCGCTAGACGAAAGGGTTTTTTGAGCTGCTTCGCAAGACGATTTCCCCTATGGGCTTGCTTCGCAAGACGGAAACGTCTTGCAAGTTTGTTTCCTTTTTCTTAACACCGTTAATACAGGTGCGACTTGACTTCAAGGAGCAACTCATAGAACGCGGTGTGGTAGCCTTTTTTTAGGTTTTTAAAGACTTTGGTGATTTTTGAAGCTTTTCCAAAACTTTCCCGACACCGTGCTTCGCAAGACGAAAAAATCGCAAGACGACAAAACTCGCGGAACGAATTAATTTCGTCTTGCGAGGCACCACTGTATATGACTATGTTGTTTAGATGTGTTTATGATGAATATGTGTTGTAATGCTAGTTGTTTCTTATAATAATAGATTTTAAAAGTAAAATCTGTCTAGGCAAAAGGAAACCTTTTTCCTCAATACTACAAATCTATCAATTTTCCTATATTCTCTATAATGTTGATTGTATTCCAGAATATAATGCATACTGCTACTTTTCTAATATCAATCCTGCTGATTTTTATCCTTCCTTAACCCTATATTAGTGTTCCAGATTTGAACATACTCACATCTTGTGTTCATTATTTGAGGTCCTTCTCCAGGTCCTCCCTCTCTAAGAGAATTTCTGAAGCTGGCAAAAAGGGGGAGATCCTTTTCAGCTGTGGCCCCTCATATAGGGAATGCTTTCTCTGGCGAGGTTCACCTGATGCTGACATCAACATCTTTTGGACACCAGGTTAAGCTTACTGCTGCTTCAGTGATATATTCTGGGAGGCACAGGTATAGGCTTGGGAAGTCACCTGGCATGCATTACCTATAACTAAAGGAGTGCTGAACCTGTTGTTAACATCTCTGTTGAGTCACTAAACTTTAGTGGACCACCTCAATATTACTCAGTACTAATGCTTTGTTCTATCACTATACAAGGGTAAACCATTATTTCCATAGGCGCCGACTCCATGGGGCTTGAGGGGGCCCGAGCCCCCTCAAAAATTCGTTTGGGGGGGCTCCGCCCGCCCAATAATCTCCGGCGCCCCTCCAGCAGAGCGCCATCGCCGCCCCTCCCCCAGCCCAAAATGCACAGGGAGGGGCGGGCTGCATGCCTCCTGCCCTCCCTCCCGAGCAAAAGCTCCACCCAATTTCCTTTGGAGCTGATTAATAGGCGCAGCACGCTCTCCCCTATTCGCTCACGAGGAGGCGGCGCCACTTTATTTGCATATTCATGAGCTTATTTATTATTCATGAGCTTTCCCGGGCCCCCCCCAATATTTTTTATAAGTCCGCGTCCCTGATTATTTCTGGATACGTTAGCTACCTAGCAAATTGTAATTGGGTATTGTGACACAGGAACATTTAAAGCAGTGGTGGCTAGCTTGTGGTCCTCCGGCCCACACACATCATCTATACTGGCTGGGGCTGATGAGAGGTGGAGTCCACCACTTTGTGCAAGGCTACAGGTTAGCCACCCCTATTTTAAAAGGTTAACCATCAAGCTTGTCTGCATATGTGATAATGCTAATTTCAGAGATGTAAGGAACATGCATCTGCTCTGAATTTCTAGTAGCAGCACCTGTGGATAGGGACAGTGATAAGAAATATACCTAGAAGAATTGCAGCAATGCTTCTCGGTTGAACTTTTTGAAAGGAAAGGAAAGCCCTTATTGTACAAGCAGCTAGTAGCGGAACTAGGTGAATAAAAATTGCTAGATCTTATTGCTGTCCTTTTAAAAATATACAATTTCCTATATTTTATTGGCACAAATATTTTAAAATATTTGGAAATACATAATTAGATCTTAGTTCTATTACTGAGAATAAAACCTCATCAACTGGAGTAAATTACACAAAAGTCAAAATGTTTCAAACTGGAAAGTGTTATTATTCATACTCACATTCCAGGTGCTTCCTTAAAAAAGAAAAAAGTTAAGAATTATAGCAAAATATGTCGTGTTTTCTTTTCTGTCCTGATATAATAGATCTCAGGGTGTTTTGCCTTCACATCATTTGCTTTCCAATTTGAATTAAAGCTATTATGCCGAGTGGGTGAGACCCTGGCATTAAACAGTGTGCTGTTTAATATTCAGAGTTTGACATCCAGTCTGTGTGGAATGAATGGAGCGGAGGTTTGTCCTAATCACGTCCGGGTTAGTATGGCAATTCCTATTAAAGGATCCATCTACTACAGACAGAATTTTATTATAGCACGTTCAGCAGAAGGAACATCCTGGCACCTGCATCTGAATTGCCATGGAGAGACACTCACTACTTTGTGCCTCTTAATGCTCTTTATAGTACTGGAAGCTTACATGATAAAAAGGGGTTTATTTTAGAAGACAAGGCTTTTAGTGTTGCAGTAAATTCTCATACACAGGATTAGTCTGATGGGCTCATTATTGTAACTTACAGTCATTTATTTATGCTCAGGAGTGAAGAAGCAGGAAAGTGAAATTACACACATCATTAATACTTTCCAAAGCTTGTCTAATGTCTGCTATTACTTCCTTTTCTACTTTAATGCTGCTCAATGTTTTCTCTCTCAAGACAGCCAGAGAGCACTAATAATCCCATTAAGTAGTCAAAACAAAAAAAATTCCTTCCAGTAGCACCTTAAAGACCAACTAAGTTAGTTCTTGGTATGAGCTTTCGTGTGCATGCACACTTCTTCAGATACCATGCACACGAAAGCTCATACCAAGAACTAACTTAGTTGGTCTTTAAGGTGCTACTGGAAGGAATTTTTTTTTGTTTTGACTATGGCAGACCAACACGGCTACCTATCTGTAACTGAACCCATTAAGTAGGTTACCTTTCAGTCATTAGCTGTATGGGGTCTCTTCTTCCCAAATATGAAGTGATCTGCATATTGTCCTCAGTCTCAATTTGCCTAATACACAGTTCAGAATCTTTAACATAAATCTGCACAATATGCATTTTTGTTTTATTTTCCATCTTTCCTCCAAGGAACTGAAGGTGGAATAAATCCTTTAACCTCACAAAAATCCTGTGACATACGTAACATTAATGACTAGCCCAAGATCACCTAGTGAGCTTCTTGGCTGGCAGAATTTGAAAATGGGTCTCCCCAGTGCTAATCTGACACTCTGGTTAATGTGGTCACTATTAGTAATGTAGTAATGGGGGGATATAGGCTGGTATTGCTCCCGGGAGCCGGTGTACAGCTTCCGGGTCATGTGGCCAGCATGACCAAGCCGCTTCTGGCAAACCAGAGCAGCGCATGGAAACGCCGTTTACCTTCCCGCCAGAGCGGTACCTATTTATCTACTTGCACTTTGACATGCTTTCGAACTGCTAGGTTGGCAGGAGGCTCTTAATTGTACTTTGCTCAAATTAACAAGTCACTATTGCAAAACACTGACATTTGGTTCAAAATTATTGCCATCACTCATGTTCTTGCTTCCACTGCCTCACATGACCGGGTGCGGGGGCACTAGAAGGGTAGTTGAGGTCTCTGACACTGTTTTGCTCATGTGGACTGTGTACACACTTCCATGCTTGTAATAAAGCTCCCTCCACTCACCCACATGCATCACAGTAGCTTGGACTAGAGGACACTCGAGGTCACTTCCTACTCTACAATTCTGTGACTCTATGCCTTGTGTATATTGGCATGGTTTCTTGGCATGAATGCTGTGGAAGTGCTGGCTGCAAGTATGCAGGTTGGGGAAGGGGCTGCAATGTGTGCATGTGTTTGTTTACAGTGTCATGTTTTGGCACGCTCATTTGTGTGTGTGTGTGTGTGTGTGTGTGTGTGTGTCTGGTCTGTGACTGGCCATGCATGCGGAGGCAGAAAGTGTGCCAGCATTGGGTGGTGGTGTTGCTATGGATGCAATGAGTGCCCATTATCTTCACTGAGCTTGGGCAGTTTCTGTAGTCCCTCCTTGCCTCCCACTGTGTGGGATTTGGATCAAGAGTTTTTATGCCAGCAGATTGCAGCAGCCATGCAACATGGCAGATTCCTATAATTTAGATTGCTCTACTGGGCTTGTAATATTTACTCCTGTTCATTTCCTGGGTGAAAGGTTTTTTTTGTTTAAGTTGTACACAAACAGGTATAAAAATAGCTGGACACGTGCCCAGAACAGAAAAAAGTCCTGGAAACGGAGGAAAGGGGCAGAAAAACAGCTCAAATACCTTCAAATTCATTAATAAGGAAAACAGATAGACAAGGCAGCGTAACTGAAACATACCAAATCATTCTACAAAGCTCAGCAAGCAGCAGAAGAGCAATGAATAAAGGAAATGTGTAGAGGCTAACATGCCAAAAATGCACACAGGAAAAATTGGACTTGATGACCTGTTTGCAATATAAGGTCCCTGTCTGGAAACCCACTATGTTCCTTAAATGTACCCTGAAACGGGGGATATTATTTTTAGCTAACTACATCCACTTTGTTTCATGGGGCTTCATGTAAACCACATTGAGGATTCAAAGCACAGCCTTCATAAGATTATATAAGAGAAAAGGTTGCAAGAAAGCCCTGCCTTCCAACTCCCTGCACATCTCTTGGAAAAGGAAGAGAACCAGCAGCATCCAAACCTAGCCCAAGCAGCATCTTAGTTAGGAGAAAAAAGGCTGAAAATGCTGTAACAACAGGGGGAAGCTGATGCCGGTCCTTTTCTCCATTCTCCTCTGTATATATCGTTAAAAACAAGAAGTTGAGAGTACCAGGTATATATTAATCAGGTCTATCTCCGTTTCTTGTTTGCGGCACAGTTTACATCAGTATCTATCTAGATCGATAGTTTTAATGGACCTATGAAAGGAAGTCGCCAACAACATTACCAATATGCAGGTCTGATACACTAACTTACTTAAGCAAGACATTTTGTCCGCATTCCTGGGACTCCCAGCTGGCGCCTAATGGACTACGAAAAGGAACAGCCGCAAAGCGACCCATTCCGCCCTAGTGCAACCGCCTGAAGTGCTGGCTCTGAACAACAACTTTTTCCAAGCCTGCTGACTAAGCAAAAAGTTAGCATGTTGAAGTTATATATTTTCGAAGCCACCTATCTACCCTCTTGCTTCGATCCGTCTACGCTGAAGAGTGTAAACAACTTGCCTGCACAGGTGTGTGGGGCCTAAGGCAGAGGTAGCCAGTTGCATGCTGGGAGACGTAGTATTTTCTCACGAAAGGAACTTAGCAGCGAGGAAGCTGCTGCACTACACTACCCAGAATTCCTCTGCGAAGAGAGGTGTGAGGCGCCGCCCTTTGCCTACCTGAGCGCAGGTTGTGGGTTCCCATGGCAACAGGGAAGAGGGTTAGTTATGAAGACGCCTCCTTGTCCCCTCAGCTGCTAAAATTGTTATCTTCGCGCAAGAGGGTTTTTTGGGGTGCAACTGGGCCATGGCTTCTTGAGTTAGAGGTTGGTGTTGCTTCTTTTATTCATTGGAGTCTCGCGTGCTGGGTCTTCTCTGTACTAGGCCAGGAAGAGAGAAACACGCACGTGCCATGATGGTCATAAGAAAAAAGGCTTTTTTTCTTCTTCTTAAGGCCTCCAAGAGTGGAGCTTAGGCAACGTGAGACTATTACTGCGGAAGAGGTAGCAGCTTCTGGTTCCTTGGGCTGTGCCTTTGTGCAGTACAAAAGCAGTATATTGGGACATACAGTGAAAATGGGATTGCTGCCTTTAGTAAAGATTAATCCGTTCTTCCTTTTTGTAACACAATTTTACCGTTATTTTGCAGGTATTCCTCAGCAGTGATTACGATTGCCCATGTTAGGAATTGAGGTTGAAGTTAAATTTGCAGCTTGAAATTGTTTGGTGTAGAAGTAGTCCCCTGTTATCTTACCTTGGAGCAAAGTGTGTGGTTTGGGGGTTTGCCTAGTGTTGTGTTGAGATAATAATCCATATTTTTATTTGAAAAAGGCTTGGGACACCTAAACAAAACATGAACTCCCCTAACTAAAAGACCTATAGCTTGATCCAGTTTACCTGGAAGTCATTAGTGCAAAGCTGAATGGGGCTTACTCCTAAGGAAGTCAACTTAGGAATATAGGCTTTGGATAAAATCGTATGCATACTTACTTACTATTGAGCACAGTAGGACTTGCTGCTTTTGAGTAAACAGGCATAAGATCTACTGAGGTAAAGGGTGGGGTGGGGAACAGAAACTTAACATTTCCGTCTTAAAACCATTTAAGCAAGTCAAATTGATTTTAGTGATCCAGGCAACAGTATTTATGACTACAGCCACAGATTCAGTTTGCTTATTTTAATTTGTGTTCATTAAAAAAGTGTAGGCGCACAATCTAGCCAATGTTTGAGACGTTTTTAACAACACAAACTTACACACATACTCAGAAGCAAGTAACTTTGCTCAGTGGGGCTTAATTCCTGGTAAGTGCACAGATGATTGCAGCTAGGACCTCCTTATACTTGGTGGGACAGTGCTGAGTATACATTTAGGCTTGCCACATGAACCTTTTGTTCCTTATTGAAACTAATGGGACTCAGATGTGCTTAACTTTGTCTGGGTGTGATTAGTTTTTTGTTAGACGACTATACTGTTGCTTCTGAGCTTTAAAAAAAATCCTAAAATAGAATATCATTACAAGATCATATTGGATATCTTGGACATTTTATACAGAAGCTGTTGTTGTAAAACTGAATTTTAATTTATTAGCTACAAAATGAATAATTGGAAGGAAGTGGACATGTTTGGAAGATGATTGATTGCTGGGGATACTGTGGAGCTGAAATTGTACGGCTTGGTTTCTAGGGCAACAGGTTTCTCTGCAGCTGTTCAGAAAAGAATGAAGCCATGCGTAAGGGAGAAGTCTATAATCTGTTGGTAAGATTCTACCCTAATTTCATGATTGCTTTGGACTGTCCAGGCAAATTAAAGCAACATTTGTTAAGAATTCAAGATACATTATAACTAATAAGCTATGCATCTCTGATGTTCCCTGAAATGCATCATTTTGAGCTTCTTGGGGACAATGCTACAGCATCACATGGACAGAACAGATGAAAATAATTTTTGTGACTTGAAGAACCAGATTTTATGGGCCAATATACTTAGGTTACAAAACATTTGGGCCAAAATGTATAACCCATAATAAAATATCTCCCCATTCTGCTCAAGCTTGTAAGGCTTGTACTCTACCATCAAGCTGCTTTTCAGATGTAGTTAGTTAGACTGAATATTGCTCTTCCCATTGCACTAAATGAGAAACACAGTATTCAGAGCAAAAACCTGATCTTGTTGTCTCCCGTGGAAGGCAACTAGGAATCACAAGGAGTACCATGCCGGGTCATAATTGTGCAGTTAGACTGAATATTGCTCTTCCCATTGCACTAAATGAGAAACACAGTATTCAGAGCAAAAACCTGATCTTGTTGTCTCCCGTGGAAGGCAACTAGGAATCACAAGGAGTACCATGCCGGGTCATAATTGTGCAGCAATTATAGCATCCGTGCAGTGCAGCAAAATACTCAGGATATACCAACACAACACACTGCAGTTGCTCTGTGTGAGGTCTTGCAAAAGTCAGATATGTGGAGTGTGGAGGAGTGTGATGCCACTCTGCAAAATCCTTGAATCGGGAGACCTCCCACCTTAGTACTGTTACCAGTGTTGTGACCACAAACCATATAAATTAGCCAAATGTGACCATTACTGTAAAGCACTTTGCATGTTGAAAGTACTATGTAAATTATAAATAACTAATTTAAAAATGAATATTGGATGCCAGGGCCTGTAATTCAGAGCCTTCCTAGGGCATAGGCAAAGACACCAGTTGTGCAGTGATAAAACTGGAAACTGCCACACGCTCCATCTCATACTAGTACCCATGCCCATGGGCAACACAGAGCAGATGGGACAGAGGAAAGGGAACAGGAAATGCAGTGGATGGAACCCCAAACAGTGGGTGTCTGCTTTGTAAATGTTGCCCTGCTTGGAGCACAGCAATTCTGTTCAAGGCCTGTCCCCATCTATCAGGGCGAGCTGGTGTGCCTCAGGTGATAGTGCCTGTGGTATCTGAGAGGATGGTGAAAGAAATGTGTGCATGAGTAGAATTTTGTACTAAAATCCACGTGTCTGCAAGACAAGAGTTCTGTTGCAATACTTGATATACAGTATTTCCTGTTTGTGAGCATTCTCGCCCTGTGTGTGAAGGGTGATATGCAAATGCCATAAACAAAGGGCTGTAATGTGTCAGCTATTTAGTTTAGTATTATATTGTTACCACCATTGTATGGACTTGTCATTTGCATTTTCTGTTCTTGGAAAATGTATTAAGCCATTTTTGTCTCTTTTGGAAGTTACTTGACATAGATCAGGTACCTCTTACTGTTACATACTAAAAACTTGCCTGCCATTCATATAGTCATTGTGCTTAAGGATTACTTGCTTATATGGGACAGCAGCTTTGATCAGGTAATGATTCTGAATGCAACTTTGGGGAGCCTAGTGGTTATTCCATGTTTCATGTTTAGGTTTCTGAAAGCTTCTCTGTAATTGGAGAGTTGTTCCTCTTTTATGCATTTTCTTTCACAACTGAACTGTATATCAGCTGCACTTCACGATCAGAATTATGAGTAGCCCTGAGTGTGTATTTTATGCTACATTTAAAAAGAAAACAGCAGCACATCTTTTACAGATTAAAAAAGAGAATTCAGCTCTACTAGTATTGTTTTTCAGTTCAGTAATAGAACTTACACACATGGTGTAGCTGTCAGGTTTGGTCTTGTCTTGAGATCTAACAGTTTGCCTGAAAGCAGGCCTCCTTGGTGTATTTTCCTTGTTTACTCCTTAGGGGGGTTCTTGTTTACTCCTTGGGGCATTTTCATGTTTATAGTCCACAGCAGTCTTTGCCAGGATCCAGGATAACCGGCTGGCTTAGTGCCACAGAGCGGCAATCCTCACAGCTGCAGAGCTTTTGAGCAACCTGCCTCCTGGCTCTTTACTGAGCAAACTCTTGGTCGGCTGTTTTGCTGCCAACACGCTGGGTGGGTTTGTTGATTTTAAGAGTCCAGGTTTCATTTTCTCCTTGTATGCAGGTGGAAAGGTGGGTGGAGCAATGATAGCAGGTGGGAGGAACTGGCTGTCCCGAGTGCAGGCCTGGAAGATTGTGATTGGGGGTGGAGAACAGAACAAGTCATTTAAGGAGGACATGGAATGAACAAACAAAAAAAAAAAGCAGAGGGAGATACTTAACTGGCAAAGCCAGTCTGTTGGCCAGTCATGTGATTAACATGGCTACGATCAGGGAGTGCACAGCAAGGACACACAAGGAGTCTCAGGATTTGAAGGTGGCTGCCTGAATCTCAAAGAGGGAAGTCCATAAAGGTAATTATTTCCCCTGTGCTTTTCCATTTTGTAGGATGCTGCTTGTGAATAAGCTAAAATGACTGTGAAATTGCTCTCTCTTCTGCCTGTGCCATCTGTGCTCTTGGCTTTCTGCCTTGCCACAAGGAGTGAGCAGGAAAGGACAGCAGCTTTACAAGGTGAGACGAAAAGAAAAAGTTGTCCTGGTGTTGGTCTGTGTGTTTTATGAATATATGTAGGCTTGTGGTACTTAGCAATTAAGGCAGTCTGACCCACTCTTTTTTCTTCTCTGTGCCCTTCTTGCTTGACCTGATCAGGCCTTCTGCCTTTGCAGTCACTTGTGCTTCAACCACTAATCTCTCTTCTGTGTTTGGATATCTCTTTCTGGAAGAGACACACTTTATTTATGAGACAATATGAGTATTTTGAGAGAAGATTTGAAACTTCTTACATGGCAGGCCTATTTCCATTGTTGTTTCTGTTTGGCACAGTGGCCTTTCCTAGGCCTTGCTTCCCAATTTGAGATTAGTTTTCCATTGTTGTTTTTTGGTCAGTGAGATTTGTGTGCGCACATTTGTATTTAACACTTGCTATCTGATCATAGGGGTGTCCTATGTTTTCCATTTGTTCTTGAGGCCTCATTGAATTCCATTTTCCCATGACACACATTGCCAGGTTCCTGTAGGCTTCACATTAGCTCACTGATGCTTGATATGGCTGGCTTCTGTCCTGTGAGAGCTTTTCAGTAGTCAACATTTGTCTATCCATCATTCTCTTTGCCTTCTGCTTAACATTTGCTGTAGGGGTGCATGGAGCTTTAGGAGAGAATGAAAAGCGCATCCACTGTTCTTCTGACCTATACAATCCAGTCTTACTCTGGCCTCTGCCCATGCTGGCCCTGCAGCCAGTGGCAAAGCATACAGGGACTTTGGAGAAAAAAAATTGGCTATTCTTCTCTGGGAACACAGGATGCTGGCTAGTCAGTTGCATTCTAAGGGGTGGCTTAGTATAGCAACATAGTCATCCTATTGGCTGATCAAATCCTAAGTTTATCTGCTGACCAGCTATGTGGTGTTTATTTGTTTTCTGTTTTTCATTTGCATTACTCTTGGCTGCCTTGGACATATGTAGAAGGAAGTGGAATACAGTTTTTTAAAAAGAAATTAATTAGTAGTGGCCAACTTGTAGGGATCTTAAAAATATGTGAGTGTGCTACTCTATATTGCATTACAGTACCTGTGCAAACCTGTGTGTGTTAGGCTACCAGTGGCTTCCCCTCTAGTCTTCTAATCTCTGGAGTAGGTGTCATTGCAGTGCTGAAGAGACAGGCAAGAATATACATTTGATTTTGCCTTAGTCGGGCCTATAAATCCTCAGCTTCTAGTCCAGAAGTGCCATAGACTCATTCTCCCTTTGCCACTGTGATGTTTGTGCCACAGCTGGATACTATGGGGTTAAATTTAGTATGTGGTGGGGCAATGAAACACTAGGTTAGCCATACATGGAACTGACACATTTATTTCCCATAATTAGTGTTTTCAAATGACCATATAAATAAATAGTTGAACTGTCATTCTAGGAAGTGAGCAGATTTATCTCTGGAGTGTCACAGATATCTGCATACAATATTTTTACTTCCTTATGATTTATTTTTGATGTGGCTCACAAAATGATCAGGCAGTGCACAATGAAGAAACTCTCCTGTGCTCCTTCTAGATTTAACTTGCTATCCCTATGTATTGGTAAAATAGCTTTGGTAGTATAGAGATGAAGTACTCTTTCATAACATATCCTACTACAAAGGTAAGGATGCTAACATTTCCATTTCCATTGACTGACAATAGGGAAACAACCTGCATCTCTTATTAAGTTGTATGCTTAAGTAGGGTTGTGTTGGTATCCATCTGTCTTGGGAGACAATAGACGAGTGTGCCTTCGGGAGTGAAGTTGGAGAGTTACAGTGTCTGCAGTGGCTCCAGAGCCATATGCAGGAGAGATATGTTTTCTTGCAGGTGGAGCAGAAGAAGGCATCTGGTTTTGCTGCTAAAGTTTACACCATGGTGTTTCTTCTCTCTGCACTCCTACTAGTGGTCATTCCTCTGGTTACTGACTGACTGTCTCCAGACACTGTGATTGCCTCCAAAGGGTTTCCACATGGTGGGGTTAATGTTGCCAGCCTTCATGTCACATTTGCAGACATCTTTGTAACACAGTTAGTCTGCCAACAGACCTAGTTTATTATTATTTTTTTAAATTTATATACTACCCTTCATCCAAAGACAATAGGCCAGCTTACAACATAAAAACACAAAATACACAGCATAATAATAATAAACATACCCCCTTCTGTTACTCATTCATTTATCCCATACTTCCAGTGCATTTTCCCATGACTTTCCAAACCGCAGAAAGCCTGATTCTTTTTTAAAGTGGATTTGTTGAGCTAGTGCAACACAGCCTTTCAATCCAATTTAACGGCTCAGACCTAAGTTTCCAATGTGCTCTTGAATCCCACGTGCAAAATACTGACTGTCTGGAGGCACCCTTAGGCAATTTATGCTTGCCTAATTGAAACAGCAACGTAAGATGATGTGGGGTGCTACATTTTGATGTTTCTTAGAGGCTTTTTTCTTCTTCTGAAATATGATTTGTCTCTTAAATTTCCTCTGAGTATCCATGATGAGTAGTGCAGAAATCTTTGTACATGTTGCCCAAGAGGATAAAAGATACAATATTGCCTTGGTCTAACCTCTTAAAACAATGGCTATTTAAATTTTCTGTCTCATAGAAGGAGTCTTAAAGCTATAAGTTGGTTAGAAATTGAGATAACCCTTATCTTTCTCTGCCCCTCCCAGTTATATGGGTTTGTGTGTGCCTGCTGTGATCCTGGGAAAAGCACTAGCAAAGTCAATACGATAACATTCCTGTCTGTAGGACCAATAAATAAGCCATAATCTTTGAGTTTTACATAGAGGTGCCTTTTCAGTTATTGCTGTTGCAACAGACCAACCTAATCTGCTTTTATTGATAATGCTTTTGTATAAATTGACCACACCTTGCAAAGAAGCAAACTGGCTAGAAAATGTGTGTGTCATGGTGGGGGGAGTGAGAGAGTGAGCTTGGGAGCTAGTTTGCTCAGCCAGTAATAGGTGTCAGTATCTTCAAAGTATGCTGTTTGTTGTGACATTTCTTTGTGTCTTCTCTGTATACTGGGAGAACCCTTGAGTGCCTCCCAGACCATTTACAGACACATTTACACAGTTTTCTTCTCATTTAGTGCTATATTTGTGTTAGCCTTCGCAAAGGGATAGCCATGCTGACATTCACTTATAGAAACAGGACTGAATGTGTACCCCAGTGCAAGCCTGGTTTGGACAAAATGCCAAATTGTGGTTTGTTTAAAATAAAGAAAGGAGGAAGAAAATGGATCTGTGTGGCTCATACTTATGCTGCCAACCCATGCTTGGGCATTATGTCTGAACCAGTCCTAGGGGTGTGACCACAAATGAAAATTCTTTGAGGCCATTTACACTGCACCTTAGTTTTGCTTTAACCACGTTATTCTGTGCAGTTTTACAGGAAAGCATTTTGCACAGCAATTACTGGTTTTAAGTTTATTGTGGCAATTACATAATGAAGGAGATAATTGATTCTCCCTTCCAGACTCTTTTTATGATGATGTGAAACCAGTTTACCATCTTGCAGGGATGCACGCTTTGTTGTTTGTAAGTTGAAGCCTCCCATATTTGTTAATGAAATAGGTGATGTTTAGGGTTGGTATAACTGCCCTGAGGCATTTTGCTGCCTGAGAGGGACAGGATGACTTCCCCACTCCCCTTCCATGTTCAGAAGCTGACTCTGGCAACGAGACAGCATCCTTCACCACACCTGAAGGCATCAGCATGCCCAGGACAGGCCATATGGCACATAGAGTTCTGTCTTTCAACACTTCGTTACTCCTCACCCTAATTGGGTCATTGCCAACACGGATAGATGCTGCTGTGCAGCAGCATGTGTTGCATGGGCATGTGCTAAAGTTTCTGGACTGTGTGGCTTATGCTGGTTGCCTCTTTGCAATGCATGCTTCTTCAGTCTGGGGCTTTCCTGTACTGTGACGTGTTGAAAGAAAGTGACTAGGTGAGACATATAGCCATACTAGGCCAGTAACAAGCAGGCTCACTGGCACAGGAGGGTAGGAATGGCCAGGAGACTTAGGGGGAACATCCAAGGTGGCGTCGTTACCACCTGAGACAATTGCCTCATTCTGTAATGATAGGGTTGCCCCTGCAAAAAGCAAAGGCTCTCCCTATCATTATTTGTTGAGTTAGCTGCCTGTGGCTTGGATCCTAAGCACAGTTTCTTGGAGGTACGTTTCAAAATTGGTAGGATTTGCTTCCAAGTAATAAGATGCATAAAAGTGAGGTGCCAGATTACTACAGTTCTAGCAGATGAGTTTCCTTACTCCTTAAATTAAATATATCTACTACAGTGCAGTAGGGTATTGATTATCTGATTAAGCCCTTTAACTCATCAGAAATGTGAGGAGATAGTCGATAGAGCAGAAGACTCTTTAATCTCAGTGTCAAAGATTCAAGCCCCACACTGAGCAAAAAGATTCCTGCATTGCAGTGGGTTGGAGTCAGCAAACTTTTTCAGCAGGGGGCCGGTCCATTGTCCCTCAGACCTTGTGGGGAGCCAGACTATATTTTTGGGGGGGGAAAGAACGAATTCCTATGCCCCACAAATAATTCAGAGATGCATTTTAAATAAAAGGACACATTCTACTCATGTAAAAACATGCTGATTCCCAGACCATCCGCGGGCTGGATTTAGAAGGTGATTGGACCGGATCTGGCCCCCGGGCCTTAGTTTGCCTACCCTTGGAGTAGATTGTTCTTGTGCTGTCTTCCAACTCTATTGTTCTATTCTCTACTACTGCCTAAAGTGTACAATACTTTGGACTGATCCCAGGATTTGGGATGGTTGGTGTTGAAGGAGTGCTATATTTAAACATATGAAAGGGATGAAACAATTACATTTTGTTTTGAAATGTAGAATTATGTTCTGAAATGTAGAATCAATCAATATTGATTTGTGCAAAATACAAGGAATAGTAAATGCCAAAAAAGAAATGGAAATCTGTGTATTGGCTGAAATAGGCAAAATATAAGAGCAGAGGAATAAATATGGGTTTAAGGGCCCCTACCTGTTAGCTGTGCTGAAGTCTTTTTAAATGGGGCACAAGAGCTTATGTGTGTAGTGGATAGTGGTCATGATCTTTGATATACTTTGGGACCATAATAGCAGTATGAATAATGGAATCTTGCTTCCTGCACATTGTCTGATATACCAAATTGATATCTGAGAATCATTTACAAAATAAAAGGGATAGGTTTTTAATCTCATAGTTGCATACTAGAAGATAGAAGGAACTGCCTTTGTATTTTTAAGTCTAATATCCCAGTCTTGGGATGCAGAACATACAATGCTCTATTATACATGTATATGCTTGGACAGGTAGTCTCAATTTAAAGGAATACAGTGGTACCTCGGGTTACATACGCTTTAGGTTACAGACTCCGCTAACCCAGAAATAGTACCTCGGGTTAAGAACTTTGCTTCAGGATGAGAACAGAAATTGTGCTCCGACAGCACAGCAGCAGTGGGAGGACCCATTAGCTAAAGTGGTGCTTCAGGTTAAGAACAGTTTCAGGTTAAGAACGGACCTCCAGAACGAATTAAGTATGTAACCAGAGGTACCACTGTATATGTGCATTTTGAGCACACAGCGTGAAATGGATGCTTTCATGGTGTAGTGAGGACTGGAGTATGCATTTTTCTAGAACAGATCCCTTCTCACAGGCCAAGCATGCCAGGAATAAGATCTGACTAGTGGTAGTAGTAGTGGCAGTAGTAACAGGATTAAGAATAAAGGGCTGACCTCTCAGCAAGGAATGAGTGAAAGCTGATATCATACAGGCCCCAGCATGAGCTGCTCCTCCTGCTCTGCCCTCTGAAATGAAACAGAAGTAAAAAAGAGACTTCAGATAATTTAAACTGGAAATGATAATAATTTTGAAGAGAGTTGAAATTAGCTTTCCTTATGTGTGTGCTTCTTCTGTTTTGGCTGGTCAAACATGTTTGGCAGGTTTTTAGTCAATACAGAAACCTGTTTACCAGAGGTCAAAATGGAATGAGTAGTTGTCTTATTTCCAAACCAATTTTTGCTCTCCAGTCCCAGTAAATTCCCATCCATTTCCTCTAGACTTCCTGCAAACACAATGAAGATTGTAGGATGTTTGAGTGAAGGGAACACACAACATTGCTTGCAAAATAATGCAGCATAAGACCATGAGCTGAAGTAGGAAGGAGATACTGTGCAGCAAACTGCAGCCACAAAGTATCCCTGACACAAATGATTCAATCTCTTTTGCATTTATAAATACATTGTGGAGTAAGAAATCTTTGGCGATCACTCGTAGCTGAGTAAGATAGTCTTCCATAAACACAGTTTTAACAATGAGTCCGTAAGTGACTGTTGAGGCCAATTCTGGATCCATACACCCTTCCACAGTGGGGACATTGGTTTCAAGGTGGGAGTTGATCACGGTGTGGATTTGCCAAGGGTGCCTTCCTCTTAGCACATTTCTCCCTTGCATCCTGAGTTTGAGTGTCTTCAAAGCCCATGACACCTTTGGTAAAGGCTGTTCTCCAACTGGAGCGCTCGTAGGCCAGTGTTTCCCACTTGTCAGTGTTTATACTACATTTTTTAGATTTACCTCAAGACAGTCTTTAAACCTCTTTTGTTGACCAGGAGTCAGAAATATGCTGTATTTGACCAGTACAACAGTGCACTGGCTTGAGTAACTTCTCAGAAAGTGTGATATTCTTGTACCAAAAGCACTACCTGTGCAAAAAGCATGAGGGATGATAGTGGAAACGGCCCTGAATTAAGCTGCATGGTAAGTGTATCCAGTTGTGACAAAATCCATTTCTAAATCAGCATTCAGTATGTGAAATATTTGTGAAAGGATCCTATGAGAATTAGCACCCTCTGAGATAAGTCTTTGGTTGCATCTTAATGCTGGGATCCATACCTGCCGTTTACTCCCTCCCACTATCTGATGGTTGGGTGTGTGCTTAACAGCTCCTGTGTGTAAGCAAAAAGAGCAGCATTTCTTTCTTCAGTTTTCTCCCTGATTGGGTATGGGAATGTTTGCCTAGCAGACAAAGGCAACATATTATGCATACTTTAAGGGACCCAGCCCAGTCACAGTAGGGTGTTGTTGTTTTATTCATAGTTTATGGATAGAAGGATGAAATAATGAAATGAAATTCTGTGGCAGTACTACTCTGGCAGATCTTTGTAGAATAATTATGGTCATGATAGAACAGACAAGAGCAATAAAAGATGTGTAGGATTAGGCTACATGTATTCAGATGCTGAGCAGTGGGCTTTACTCCCTTGTAAGGTATAGAACTGCAATCCTGTGTAACTTTTGTGTTAGCAGAAAAAGAAGCCATTCATATAAGAAGCCATTCAGTTTCCACCTGGGAAATTTCATTCACATAACTTTAACAACAGCTGCAACAATGATGATAATGCCGTAATGCTTATTTGGAGTGTTTTCAGGACAAAGCATCACAGTAGTCAGTGGCACTTTAACAACTGTGTTTGCATCTACTAAAGTTATTGCCATTTCTGCCAGAACATCATAGTAGTGAACAATTCATTGTATATATAGGACTGCTGTCCCACCAACAGTGAAAACCTTTGATAATGGAAGTGCTCACTTGAATATGAGTTCTCACTTGACGTTCTGCCAGCAGTGGCATTAACTTTAGTAGAGTTGCATATTTAGGTAAGGTAAAGGTTAAGGACCCCTGGATGGTTAAGGCAACTTTGGGGTGCGGCACTCATCTTGCTTCAGGCCTAGGGAACTGGCATTTGTCCACAGACAGCTTTCCGGGTCATGAGGCCAGCATGACTAAACCGCTTCTGGCACAATGGGACACCGTGACGAGTGCCATAGCACAGGGAACCGCCATTTACCTTCCTGCCAGCAGTACCTAATTGTCTACTTGCACTGGTATACTTCCGAACTGCTAGGTTGTCAGGAGCTGGAACAGAGCAATGGAAGCTCACCCCATTGTGTGGACTCGAACCGCTGACCTTCCGATTGGCAAGCCCAAGGGACTCAGTGGTTTAGACCACAGCGCCACCTGTTCCCTATAGTTGCATATTTATGCCTATTGTTACACCAGCAGTGGTAGTCAAGAACCATTGGGTGCCTCCAGGATAGTCCATCAACAGGCAACCAGAGCCCTTGAAGTTGGGTTTGAATCTCTGGTTGCTTATAGCATACAAACAACACACAAAAAGGTCTCAAAAACATAAGGTACTCTTAATTGAGAACTGCATGAGAAAATTATGTTCCATGTGCTACATTGCTTGGCAAGTAGAGCACAATGTGGAATAAATTCCCATTTAAATTTATCTGCTAACATGAGGGAGACTATGTTAGAACTGGTACATAGATGGTACTTAGGTCATTTAACTGTCATATGTGATGGTCATGTGTGCAAAATTATACTTTGAAGTCACCCCACACCAAAATAGTATTGATCAGTCATAAATGATGACATGATTTATGCTTTGTACTTCTGGACATTTCTGAAAATGATTATTATTCTTACAAAGACTTATCAACGTTTGTTTATAGCAGCTAAACTGGATATGTCTGAGCACTGGAAAAGATACAGAACCTCTATCTATTTCTCAATGGTATCAAATAAGGTGGAGGTTCACTGTCATGGACAAACAAGTGCATCCATTTCATGTACAGTGGTACCTCGGGTTACATACGCTTCAGGTTACATATGCTTCAGGTTACAGACTCTGCTAACCCAGAAATAGTGCTTCAGGTTAAGAACTTTGCTTCAGGATAAGAACAGAAATCGGGCTCCGGCAGCGCGGCGGCAGCAGGAGGCCCCATTACCTAAAGTGGTGCTTCAGGTTAAGAACAGTTTCAGGTTAAGAACAGACCTCCAGAACGAATTAAGTACTTAACCCTAGGTACCATTGTTTCAGTTCCAGTTCATATCAAATACTAACAAGTATACAGACATGCAACTTTTTGCTCAGCAAAATGTACTGTGTTGTACAGGTTTTTTTGAAGGTTGATTGCTTTTCCTTTGAACTTGTAGCTCTGAAGCACTTATTATAATTATAGTATCTTTTAAAAAAAAGTTTCCAGGTGTGCAAATGACCAATGAATACCACCAATGCTTTTTTTTGGTTGGCTAGGTTTCCCTCCTCTTCTTTCCTTTTTCTATAGTGCTTGCTTCAGTGCATTGCCTCTCCTAGCATTTTTTGGTGTGGTGTGTGTGTTATGAGGAGGGTTGTAGAATGTAATCATTGTGTAAATTCCCTTATTATCAATTTGTTCTCTGTTCATTATAAATAAGGAATAGAGTTCTAGTTAGAATCACATAGTTAGCTGATCTTGTTATCAGGATGATAAATATTTATCTCTCTTCTGTATAGTAAATTCATTGTAAACAGTCTTTCAAGGAGCCATCACATGGTATGCATATTAAAAGTAAATTCAGCAGGGGGGCAGTGTCTATGATCTGGTTGGGCATGAATGACTTGGTTGCTGTTGGAGTTGCGTATTCTGTGCTTGCTGTAGAAATGTAGGTTGGATTATGCATCACAGAAGTAGTTGCAATTTAACTGCTTTGCTTTATTTAGAATTCTTTTCGCTGACGGTTTCATCTAATTTATCGTGTGTGGACCCAGATCACTTCCATGATCACACTATTTGGACCCAGCAAGAAATTCAGAGGGCCTCCTAGGGCATTAGGCAAAGACACCAGTTGGCAGCTGATAAAACTGGAAACTGCCACACGCTCCATCCATACATATACCATGCCCATGGGCAACACAGAGAGATGGAGACAGAGGAAGGGAACCAGAAATGCAGTGGATGAACCCCAAACAAGTGGTGTCTGCTTTTGTAAATGTTGCCCTGCTTGGAGCACAGCAATTTTATGTTCAAGGCCATGTCCCCATCTATCAGGCGAGCTGTGTGCCTCAGTGATAGTGCCTGTGGTTCTGAGAGATGGTGAAAAGGCAAGTTGCATGGAGAGAAATTTGTTTACTAAAATCACGTGTCTGCAAGACAAGAGTCTGTAGCAAATACTTTGATATACAGATTTCCTGTTGGTGAGCATTCTCGCCCTGTGTGTGAAGGGTGATATGCAAATGCCATAAACAAAGGCTTTAAAATTTGTTGTTTTTCAAAAAAGGCTTCTTTATTAGTTTAGTATTATATTTTACCACCATTGTATGCGACTTGTCTTTGGCAATTTTCTAGTTCTTGGAAAATGATATTAACCATTTTTGTCTCTTTTGGAAGTTACTGACATAGATCAAAGGTACTCTTACGGTTACATACTAAACAACTTCCGCCATTTCATAAGTCATTGTGCTTAAGGATTACTTGTTATATGGGACAGCGCTTGATTCAGGGTATGATCTGAATGCAACTTTGGGGAGCCTTAGGTTATTCCCATTTTTTCATGTTTAGTTTCTGAAGCTTCTCTGTAATTGGAGAGTTGTTCCTCTTTTATTGACATTTTTCTTTCACAGACTGAACTTATTCAGCTGACTTCACGATCAGAATTTATGAGTAGACCCTGAGGTTCTTTTTATGCTACATTTAAAAGAAAACGCAGCACATCTTTTACAGATTAAAAACAGAGAATCAGCTCTACGAGTATTGTTTTTCGTTCAGTACTTAAAACTTAACACATGTGTTAGGCTGTCAGTTTGGTCTTGTCCTTGAGATCTAACAGTTTGCCTGAAGCAGCCTCCTTGATGTATTCCTTGTTACTCCTTAGGCGTCTTTGTTTACTCCTTGGGCATTTTTTCATGTTATAGTTCCACAGCGTCTTTGCCAGGATCCAGGTAACCGGCGGCTTAGTGCCACAGAGCGGCATCCTCACAGCTTGCAGAGCTTTGACAACCTGCCTCCTGGGACCTTACTGAGCAAACTCTGGCGCTGTTTATGCTGCCAACACGCTGGGTGGAGTTTGTTCATTTAAGAGTCAGTTTCATTTTCTCCTTGTATGCATGTGAACAGTGGGTGGAGCAATGATAGCAGGTGGGGAACTGGCTTCCCGAGTGCAGCCTGGAAGATTGTGATGGTGGAGAACAGAACATCAGTCATTTATTTTCAAGTACGAGCATGAGATGAACAACAAAAAAAAAAGCAGAGGGAGATACTTAACTGCAAAGCCAGTCTGTTGCCAGTCATGTGAATTAACATGGCTCGTCAGGCCTGCACGCCACAGACACACAAGCAGTCTCAGATTTGAAGTGCTGGCCTGAATCTCAAAGAGGGTAGTCAATTAAGTAATTATTTCCCCTGGCTTTTCCCATTTGTAGGGCATGCTGCTTGTGAATAAAGCTTAAAATGACTGTGAGAATTGCTCTTCTCTTCTGCCTGTGCCATCTTGCTTCTTGGCTTTCTGCCTTCCACAAGGGGTGAGCAAAAGGACAGCAGCTTACAAGGTGAACGAAAAGAAAAAGTTTGTCCTTGGTGTTGGTCTGTGTGTTTTATGATATATTTAGGCTTGTGGGTACTTAGCAATTAAGCAGTGACTCTGACCACTCTTTTCTCTCCTGTGCCCTTCTTCTTGACCTTATCCACCTTCTCCCGTTTGCAGTCACTTGTGCTTCAACCACATAATCTCTCTTTCTGTGTTTGATATCTCTTTCTGAAGAGACACACTTATTATGAGAACCAAATATGAAGTTATTTTGAGAGAGATTCTGAACTTCTACATGCAGGCCTATTTCCATGTGGTTTCGTTTGCACAGTGCCTTTCCTAGCCTTGCTTCCCAATTTGATTAGTTTTCCATTGTTGTTTTTTGTTCAGTGAGATTTGTTGCGACATTTGTATTTACACTTGCTATCTGATCATAGGGTGTCCTATGTTTTCCATTTGTTCTGAGCCTCACTTGAATTCCATTTTCCCATGACACACATTGCCAGTTTCCTTGTCAGGCTTCACAATTAGCTCACTGATGCTTGATAATGGCTGTTCTGCCTGTGAGAGCTTTCAGTATCAACATTTGTCTATCCCTCATTCTCTTTGCCTTCTGCTTAACATTCACGTAGCGTGCAGTGCGAGCTTAGGAGAGAATGAAAAAGCGCAATCCACTTTCTTCTGACCTATACAATCCAGTCTTTCTGGCCTCTGCCAATGCCTAGGCCCTGCAGCCAGTGCAAAAGCATTTACAGCTTGGCAGAAAAATGGCTATCTTCTCTGTGAACACAGGATGCTGCTAGTCTTTTGCATTCTAAGGGGTGGCTTAGATACAGCAACATAGTCATCCTATTGGCTGATCAAAATCCTAGTTTATCTGCTGACACTATGTGTGTTTATTGTTTTCTGTTTTTCATTGCATTACTCTTTGGCTGCCTTGGACATATGTAGAAGAAGTGGAATACAGTTTTTTAAAAAAGAAAATTAGTAGTGGCCCCAACTTGTATGATCTTAAAATATGTATGTGGTGCTACTCTATATTGCCATTACAGTACCTGTTACAAAACCTGGTGTGTGTTTAGGCTTACAGATGGCTTCCCCTCTAGTCTTCTAATCTCTGAGTAGGTTATTGCAGTCTTGGAAAGACAGCAGAATTATACATTGATTTTGCCTTAGTCAGGCCTATTAAATCCTCAGCTTCTAGCCAGAAAGTGCCTAGACTCTTCTCCCTTTGCCACTGTGATGTTCTGTTGCCACAAGCTGCGATACTATGGTGGTTTTAAATAGTATGTGTGGGCAATGAAACACAGGTTAGCCATACATGGAACTGACACATTATTCCCAAATTTTTTAGTGTTTTCAATTACCATTATAAATAAATAGTTGAAACTGTCATTCTAGGAATTGAGCAGATTTATCCTGGGTGTCACAGAATCTGCATACAATATTGTTTACTTCCTTATGATTTATTTTATGTGGCGCACACAAAGAATGATTCAGGCCAAGTGCAACATGAAAGAAAACTCTCCTGTGCTCCTTCTAGATTTAACTTGCTATCCCTATGTATTGGTAAAATAGTCTTTGGTAGTAATAGAGATGACGTACTCTTCTTAACATATCCTACTACAAAGGTAGGATGCTAACCATCTTCCATTTCCATTGACTGACAATAGGGAAAAACCTGCATTCTCTTATTAATTGTATGCTTAAGTAGGTTGTTGGTATTCCATTGTCTTGGAGACAATAGACGAAATTGTGCCTTCGGGAGGAAGTTGGAGGAATTACAGTGTCTGCAGTGGCTCCGAGCCATAGCAGGAGAGATATGTTTTCTTATGATGGAGCCAGAAAGAAGCATCTGGTTGCTCTAAGTACACCATTGTTTCTTCTCTCTGCACTCCTACTATTGTCATCCTCTGTTACTGACTGACTGTCTCCAGACACTGTGAATTTGCCTCCAAAAGGTTTCCACCATTTGGGTTAATGTTGCAGCCTTCATTCACATTTGCGACATCTTATGTAAACCACAGTTAGTCTGCCAACAGACCTAGTTTATTATTATTTTTTAATTTATATACTACCCTTCACTCCCAAGACATAGGCCCAGCTATACAACATAAAAAAACAACAAAATACACAGCATAATAATAATAAATACCCCTTTCTGTTACTCATTCATTTATCCAACTCCAGTCATTTTCCATGACTTTCCAAACCGCAGAAAAGCCTGAATTCTTTTTTTAAGTGATTTATGTTGAGCTAGTGCAACCACAGCCTTTCAATCCAATTTAACGCTCAGACCTAGTTTCCAATGCTGCTCTTGAATCCCACTTGCAAAATAGCTGGACTTCTGTAGCACCCTTTAAGCAATTTATCCTTGCCTAATTGAAGCAGCAAACGTAAGTAGGTGGGAGTGCGACATTTTTATGTTTCTTAGAGCATTTTTTCTTCTTCTGAAATATGATTTGTCTCTTAAATTCCTCTGGTAATCCATGATGAGTAGTGCAGAAAATCCTCTGTACATGTGCCCAGAGGATAAAATACAAATATTCCTTGTCTAAACTCTTAAAACAATGGCTAATTTAATATTTTTCTGTCTATTAGAAGGATCCTTAAAACTATAAGTTGGTTAGAAATTGACAGATACCCTTATCTTTCTTGCCCCATCCCAGTTATAGGTTTGTGTGTTGCCTGCTTGTGCTCCTGGGAAACGCACTAGCAAAGTCAAACCGATAACCTTTCCTGTCTGTAGACCAATAAATAAGCCATAATCTTTGTTTACATAGAGTGCCTTTTCAGTTATTGCTGTTGCAACAGACCCAAACCTAATCTGCTTTTATTTATACTGCTTTTGTACTAAATGACCACACGTTGCATAAGAAGCAACTGAGCTAGAAAACTAGTGTAGTGTCATGGCTGGGGGGATAGAGAGTGAGCTTGGGACGTAGTATTCTCAGCGAGTATAAGTTCAGAATCTTCAAAGTTATGCTGTTTGTTGTGACATTCTTTGCTGCTTCTCCGTATTACTGGGAAACCTTGGTGCCTTCCCAGACACTTTACAGACACATTTCACAGTTTTTCTTCTCATTTAGTGCTATAATTTGGTTAGCCTTCCGCAAAGGATAGCCATGCTAAATTCACTTATAGAAACAGGACTGATGTGTACCCCATGCAAGCCTGATTGGACACAATGCCAATTTTGTTTGTTTAAGAATAAAGAAAGGAGGAAGAAAAATGGATCTGTTGGCTCATACTTTATTGCTGCCAACCCATGCTTGGCATTATGTCTGAACAGTTCCTAGGGGTGTGACCACAAATGAAAATTCTTTAGCGCATTACACTGCACCTTAGTTTTGCTGTAACCACGTTATTCTGTGCAGTTTTTACAGGAAAGCCATTTTGCACAGCAATTTACTGTTTTTCAAGTTTATTTGGCACATTTACATAAGAGGAGATAATTGCATTTCTCCCTTCCAGACTTCCTTTTATGTGATGTGAAACCAGTTTACCATCTTCAGGATGCACGCTTTGTTGTTTGAAGTTGGAAGCCTCCCCATATTTGTTAATGAAATAGGTATCGTTTAGGTTGTATAACTGCCCTGAGCATCTTTGCTGCTGAAGGGACAGGAATGATTCCCCACTCCCCTTCCATGTTCAGAAAGCTGACTTGCAACGAGACCAGCATCCTTCACCACACCTGAAGCATTCAGCATGCAGAAGGCATATGCACATAATTCTGTTCTTCTCAACACTTCTTACTTCCTCACCCTATGATCATTTGCCAACACGGATAGATCTGCTGTGCGCAGCATGTTGCAATGCATGTGCTAAAGTTTCTGGCGTGTGGCTTAGCTGGTTGCCTTTTTGCCATGCATGCTTCGCAGTCTGGGGCTTTCCTGAACTGTTGACGTGTTGAAAGAACGTGAAGTGAGACATATAGCACATACGAGGCCAGAACAGCAGCTCACTGGCACAGGAGAGTAGGAATTCCAGGACTTAGGGGAAATCCAATGGTGCGTCGTTACACCTGAGACAGTTGCTCATTCTGTACATGATAGGATTGCCCTGCAAAAAGCAAAGGCTCTCCTATCATCTACTTTGTTGAGTTAGCTGCCTGTGCTTTGAATTCTAAGCACAGTTTCTTGAGTACGTTTTCAAATTGGCTAGGATTTGCTTCCAAGTAATAGATGCATAAAAATGAGTGCCCAGCATACTACATTCCTAGCAGATGAGTTTCCTTACTCCTTAAATAAATATATCTTACTACAGTGCAGTAGGTATTGAATTATCTGATTAAGCCCTTGAACTCACAGAAATGTGAGGAGATTAGTCGATAGAGCAGGAAGACTACTTGTAATCTCAGTGTCAACAGATTCAAAGGGCCCCACACCTGAGCAAAAAGATTCCTGCATTGCATTGGGGTTGAGTCAGCAAAACTTTTTCAGGCAGGGGCAGTCATTGTCCCTCAGACCTTGTGAGCCGACTACATTTTTGGGGGGGAAAGACGAATCCTATGCCAACAAATATTCAGAGATGCATTTTAACATAAAAGGAACATTCACTCATTAAAAACATTGCTGATTCCCAGACCAGCCCGCCGGGCTGGATTTATAAGGTGATTGGACCGGATCTGGCCCCCCGGGCCTTAGTTTTCCTACCCTTGGTGAGAGATTGTTCTTGTGCTGTCTTTCCAACTCTATTGTTCTATTCTCTACTACGCCTAAGTGTACCAATACTTGGACTGCATCCCAGGATTTGGGATGGGATTGGTGTTGACAGGAGTGCTATATTTAAACATATGAAAGGGTTAAACAATTTCATTTTTGTTTTAATGAAATTATGTTCTGAAATTAGAATCAATCAATATTGATTTGTGCAAAATACCAAGGATATAAATGCCAAAAGGAAATTGACAATCATGTGTATTGCTGAAATAGGCACAAAATAAGAAGCAGAGGAATAAATATTGTTTAGGGCCCCTACCTGTTAGCTGCTGCTGGAAGTCTTTTAATGGGCCAAGGCTTATGTGTGTAGTGGATAGTGGTCATGATCTTTGATATACTTTGGACCCATAATCAGCGTATGAAAATGGATCTGCTCCCTGCACATTGTCCTGATGTATACCAAATTATATCTGGAATCATTTACAAAATAAAAGGATAGATTTTAGATCTTCTAGTTGCATACTAGAGATAAAGACTGCCCTTTGTATTTTAAGATCATATATCCCAGTCTTGGATTTCAGAACATCATGCTCTATTAATACTGTATAGCTTGGACAGGTAGTCTCAATTTAAAGGATACAGTCGGTACCTCGCGTAATACGACTTTAGGTTACAGACTCCGCGAACCCAGAAATGTACCGCGCGGTTAAGAACTTTTGTCAGGATGAGACCAAAATTGGCTCGACAGCACGCGCAGTGGAGACCATAGCTAAAGTGGTGCTTCAGGTTAAGAACAGTTTAGTAAGAACGGGACCTCCAGAACGAATTAAGTATGTAAACAGAGGTACCACTGTATATGTGATTTTAGACACAGCGTGCAATGGGATGCTTTCATGGTGTAGTGAGGACTGAGTATGCATTTCTCTAGAAACAGATCCCTTCTCAAAGCAAGCTGCCAGGAATAAGATCTGACTAGTGTGCTAGTAGTGGCGTCATAAACGGATTAAGAATAAAGGGCTGACTCTCAGCAAGGAATTGAGTGAAAGCTGATATCATACCAGGCCCCAAGCATGAGCTGCTCCTCTGCTCGCCCTCATGAATGAACACAGACAGTAAAAAGAGACTTCAGATAATTAACTGGAATGTAATAATTTTGAAGAGAGTTGAAATAGCTTTCCTTATGTGTGTAGCTTCTTGCTGTTTTGTCCTGGTCAAACATGTTTGGCAGGTTTTAGTCATACAGAACCTGTTTACCAGAGCGTCAAAATGATGAGTATTTTGTCTTAATTTCCAATAACCAATTTTTGCTTCTGCCGACCAGTAAATCCATCATTCTCTAGACTGTCTGCAAACACAATGAAGGATTGTAGGATGTTGCAGTGTAAGGGAACACACAACATTGCTGCAATAATGCAGCAAGACATGAGCTGAATTAGAAAGGAGGATACTGCTGCAGAAACTGCAAGCCACAAAGTATCCCTGACACAAATGATTCAATCTCTTTTAGCATTTATAAATACATTGTGGATTAAGAAATCTTTGGCGATCACTCGTAGCTGAGTAGATATCTTCCATTAAAACACGAGTTATTAACAATGAGTCCGTAAGTTGACTGTTCTTTTTTTGAGGGGGGGGGGGGGGGGGGCCAATTCTGGATCCATACACCCTTCCACAGTGGGACAATTGGTTTCAACGGTGGAGTTGATCACCGGTGTGGATTTGCAACGGGTCCTTCCGCTTAGCACATTTCCTTGCAATCCTGAGTTTGAGATGTCTTCAAAGCCCATGAACACCTTTAGTTAAAAGGCTGTTCTCCAATGGAGCGCTCGTAGGCCAGTGTTTCCCACTTGTCAGATGTGTTATACTACATGTTTTTAGATGACTCAAGACAGTCTTTTAAACCTCTTTTGTGAACCAGATCAGAATATCTGATTTGACCAGATACACAGTGCACTGGCTTGAGTACATCTCAGAAAGTGTGTATTCTTGTACCAAAAGCACTACCTGTGCAAAAAGCGATGAGGGATGATATTGGAAACGGCCCTATTAGGCTGCATGGTAAGTGTATGCCAGTTGTGGACAATCCATTTCTAAATCAGCATTCAGATGTGATATTGTGAAAGGATCTATGGAGATTAGCACCCTCTGAATAAGTCTTTTGTTGCATTCTTAACGGATCCATACCTTGCCGTTACTCGCTCCATATTGATGTCTGAGGTGTTGTGCTTAACACTCCTTGTGTAAGCAAAAAGAGCAGCATTTCTTTCTTCAGTATTCTCCTGATTGGGTATGGAATGTTTGCCTTAGCAGAACAAGCACATATTAATGCCATACTTTAAGGGACCCAGCCCCAGTCACAGTAGGTGTGTGTTTTATTTCATTAGTTTATTGGATAGAAGGATGAAATAATTGAAATGAAATTCTGTGGTGTGGGGCCTAAGGCAGAGGCAGCCAGTTGCATGCTGGGAGACGTAGTATTTTCTCACGAAAGGAACTCAGCAGCGAGGAAGCTGCTGCACTACACTACCCAGAATTCCTCTGCGAAGAGAGGTGTGAGGCGCCGCCCTTTGCCTACCTGAGCGCAGGTTGTGGGTTCCCATGGCAACAGGGAAGAGGGTTAGTTATGAAGACGCCTCCTTGTCCCCTCAGCTGCTAAAATTGTTATCTTCGCGCAAGAGGGTTTTTTGGGGTGCAACTGGGCCATGGCTTCTTGAGTTAGAGGTTGGTGTTGCTTCTTTTATTCATTGGAGTCTCGCGTGCTGGGTCTTTCTCTGTACTAGGCCAGGAAGAGAGAAACACGCACGTGCCATGATGGTGATAAGAAAAAAGGCTTTTTTTCTTCTTCTTAAGGCCTCCAAGAGTGGAGCTTAGGCAACGTGAGACTATTACTGCGGAAGAGGTAGCAGCTTCTGGTTCCTTGGGCTGTGCCTTTGTGCAGTACAAAAGCAGTATATTGGGACATACAGTGAAAATGGGATTGCTGCCTTTAGTAAAGATTAATCCGTTCTTCCTTTTTTGTAACACAATTTTACCGTTATTTTGCAGGTATTCCTCAGCAGTGATTACGATTGCCCATGTTAGGAATTGAGGTTGAAGTTAAATTTGCAGCTTGAAATTGTTTGGTGTAGAAGTAGTCCCCTGTTATCTTACCTTGGAGCAAAGTGTGTGGTTTGGGGGTTTGCCTAGTGTTGTGTTGAGATAATAATCCATATTTTTATTTGAAAAGGCTTGGGACACCTAAACAAAACATGAACTCCCCTAACTAAAAGACCTATAGCTTGATCCAGTTTACCTGGAAGTCATTAGTGCAAAGTTGAATGGGGCTTACTCCTAAGGAAGTCAACTTAGGAATATAGGCTTTGGATAAAATCGTATGCATACTTACTTACTATTGAGCACAGTAGGACTTGCTGCTTTTGAGTAAACAGGCATAAGATCTACTGAGGTAAAGGGTGGGGTGGGGAACAGAAACTTAACATTTCCGTCTTAAAACCATTTAAGCAAGTCAAATTGATTTTAGTGATCCAGGCAACAGTATTTATGACTACAGCCACAGATTCAGTTTGCTTATTTTAATTTTGTTCATTAAAAAAGTGTAGGCGCACAATCTAGCCAATGTTTGAGACGTTTTTAACAACACAAACTTACACACATACTCAGAAGCAAGTAACTTTGCTCAGTGGGGCTTAATTCCTGGTAAGTGCACAGATGATTGCAGCTAGGACCTCCTTATACTTGGTGGACAGTGCTGAGTATACATTTAGGCTTGCCACATGAACCTTTTGTTCCTTATTGAAACTAATGGGACTCAGATGTGCTTAACTTTGTCTGGGTGTGATTAGTTTTTTGTTAGACGACTATACTGTTGCTTCTGAGCTTTAAAAAAAATCCTAAATAGAATATCATTACAAGATCATATTGGATATCTTGGACATTTTATACAGAAGCTGTTGTTGTAAAACTGAATTTTAATTTATTAGCTACAAAATGAATAATTGGAAGGAAGTGGACATGTTTGGAAGATGATTGATTGCTGGGGATACTGTGGAGCTGAAATTGTACGGCTTGGTTTCTAGGGCAACAGGTTTCTCTGCAGCTGTTCAGAAAAGAATGAAGCCATGCGTAAGGGAGAAGTCTATAATCTGTTGGTAAGATTCTACCCTAATTTCATGATTGCTTTGGACTGTCCAGGCAAATTAAAGCAACATTTGTTAAGAATTCAAGATACATTATAACTAATAAGCTATGCATCTCTGATGTTCCCTGAAATGCATCATTTTGAGCTTCTTGGGGACAATGCTACAGCATCACATGGACAGAACAGATGAAAATAATTTTTGTGACTTGAAGAACCAGATTTATGGGCCAATATACTTAGGTTACAAAACATTTGGGCCAAAATGTATAAACCATAATAAAATATCTCCCCATTCTGCTCAGCTTGTAAGGCTTGTACTCTACCATCAAGCTGCTTTTCAGATGTAGTTAGTTAGACTGAATATTGCTCTTCCCATTGCACTAAATGAGAAACACAGTATTCAGAGCAAAAACCTGATCTTGTTGTCTCCCGTGGAAGGCAACTAGGAATCACAAGGAGTACCATGCCGGGTCATAATTGTGCAGCAATTATAGCATCCGTGCAGTGCAGCAAAATACTCAGGATATACCAACACAACACACTGCAGTTGCTCTGTGTGAGGTCTTGCAAAAGTCAGATATGTGGAGTGTGGAGGAGTGTGATGCCACTCTGCAAAATCCTTGAATCGGGAGACCTCCCACCTTAGTACTGTTACCAGTGTTGTGACCACAAACCATATAAATTAGCCAAATGTGACCATTACTGTAAAGCACTTTGCATGTTGAAAGTACTATGTAAATTATAAATAACTAATTTAAAAATGAATATTGGATGCCAGGGCCTGTAATTCAGAGCCTTCCTAGGGCATAGGCAAAGACACCAGTTGTGCAGTGATAAAACTGGAAACTGCCACACGCTCCATCTCATACTAGTACCCATGCCCATGGGCAACACAGAGCAGATGGGACAGAGGAAAGGGAACAGGAAATGCAGTGGATGGAACCCCAAACAGTGGGTGTCTGCTTTGTAAATGTTGCCCTGCTTGGAGCACAGCAATTCTGTTCAAGGCCTGTCCCCATCTATCAGGGCGAGCTGGTGTGCCTCAGGTGATAGTGCCTGTGGTATCTGAGAGGATGGTGAAAGAAATGTGTGCATGAGTAGAATTTTGTACTAAAATCCACGTGTCTGCAAGACAAGAGTTCTGTTGCAATACTTGATATACAGTATTTCCTGTTTGTGAGCATTCTCGCCCTGTGTGTGAAGGGTGATATGCAAATGCCATAAACAAAGGGCTGTAATGTGTCAGCTATTTAGTTTAGTATTATATTGTTACCACCATTGTATGGACTTGTCATTTGCATTTTCTGTTCTTGGAAAATGTATTAAGCCATTTTTGTCTCTTTTGGAAGTTACTTGACATAGATCAGGTACCTCTTACTGTTACATACTAAAAACTTGCCTGCCATTCATATAGTCATTGTGCTTAAGGATTACTTGCTTATATGGGACAGCAGCTTTGATCAGGTAATGATTCTGAATGCAACTTTGGGGAGCCTAGTGGTTATTCCATGTTTCATGTTTAGGTTTCTGAAAGCTTCTCTGTAATTGGAGAGTTGTTCCTCTTTTATGCATTTTCTTTCACAACTGAACTGTATATCAGCTGCACTTCACGATCAGAATTATGAGTAGCCCTGAGTGTGTATTTTATGCTACATTTAAAAAGAAAACAGCAGCACATCTTTTACAGATTAAAAAAGAGAATTCAGCTCTACTAGTATTGTTTTTCAGTTCAGTAATAGAACTTACACACATGGTGTAGCTGTCAGGTTTGGTCTTGTCTTGAGATCTAACAGTTTGCCTGAAAGCAGGCCTCCTTGGTGTATTTTCCTTGTTTACTCCTTAGGGGGGGTTCTTGTTTACTCCTTGGGGCATTTTCATGTTTATAGTCCACAGCAGTCTTTGCCAGGATCCAGGATAACCGGCTGGCTTAGTGCCACAGAGCGGCAATCCTCACAGCTGCAGAGCTTTTGAGCAACCTGCCTCCTGGCTCTTTACTGAGCAAACTCTTGGTCGGCTGTTTTGCTGCCAACACGCTGGGTGGGTTTGTTGATTTTAAGAGTCCAGGTTTCATTTTCTCCTTGTATGCAGGTGGAAAGGTGGGTGGAGCAATGATAGCAGGTGGGAGGAACTGGCTGTCCCGAGTGCAGGCCTGGAAGATTGTGATTGGGGGTGGAGAACAGAACAAGTCATTTAAGGAGGACATGGAATGAACAAAAAAAAAAAAAAAGCAGAGGGAGATACTTAACTGGCAAAGCCAGTCTGTTGGCCAGTCATGTGATTAACATGGCTACGATCAGGGAGTGCACAGCAAGGACACACAAGGAGTCTCAGGATTTGAAGGTGGCTGCCTGAATCTCAAAGAGGGAAGTCCATAAAGGTAATTATTTCCCCTGTGCTTTTCCATTTTGTAGGATGCTGCTTGTGAATAAGCTAAAATGACTGTGAAATTGCTCTCTCTTCTGCCTGTGCCATCTGTGCTCTTGGCTTTCTGCCTTGCCACAAGGAGTGAGCAGGAAAGGACAGCAGCTTTACAAGGTGAGACGAAAAGAAAAAGTTGTCCTGGTGTTGGTCTGTGTGTTTTATGAATATATGTAGGCTTGTGGTACTTAGCAATTAAGGCAGTCTGACCCACTCTTTTTTCTTCTCTGTGCCCTTCTTGCTTGACCTGATCAGGCCTTCTGCCTTTGCAATCACTTGTGCTTCAACCACTAATCTCTCTTCTGTGTTTGGATATCTCTTTCTGGAAGAGACACACTTTATTTATGAGACAATATGAGTATTTTGAGAGAAGATTTGAAACTTCTTACATGGCAGGCCTATTTCCATTGTTGTTTCTGTTTGGCACAGTGGCCTTTCCTAGGCCTTGCTTCCCAATTTGAGATTAGTTTTCCATTGTTGTTTTTTGGTCAGTGAGATTTGTGTGCGCACATTTGTATTTAACACTTGCTATCTGATCATAGGGGTGTCCTATGTTTTCCATTTGTTCTTGAGGCCTCATTGAATTCCATTTTCCCATGACACACATTGCCAGGTTCCTGTAGGCTTCACATTAGCTCACTGATGCTTGATATGGCTGGCTTCTGTCCTGTGAGGGCTTTTCAGTAGTCAACATTTGTCTATCCATCATTCTCTTTGCCTTCTGCTTAACATTTGCTGTAGGGGTGCATGGAGCTTTAGGAGAGAATGAAAAGCGCATCCACTGTTCTTCTGACCTATACAATCCAGTCTTACTCTGGCCTCTGCCCATGCTGGCCCTGCAGCCAGTGGCAAAGCATACAGGGACTTTGGAGAAAAAAATTGGCTATTCTTCTCTGGGAACACAGGATGCTGGCTAGTCAGTTGCATTCTAAGGGGTGGCTTAGTACAGCAACATAGTCATCCTATTGGCTGATCAAATCCTAAGTTTATCTGCTGACCAGCTATGTGGTGTTTATTTGTTTTCTGTTTTTCATTTGCATTACTCTTGGCTGCCTTGGACATATGTAGAAGGAAGTGGAATACAGTTTTTAAAAAAGAAATTAATTAGTAGTGGCCAACTTGTAGGGATCTTAAAAATATGTGAGTGTGCTACTCTATATTGCATTACAGTACCTGTGCAAACCTGTGTGTGTTAGGCTACCAGTGGCTTCCCCTCTAGTCTTCTAATCTCTGGAGTAGGTGTCATTGCAGTGCTGAAGAGACAGGCAAGAATATACATTTGATTTTGCCTTAGTCAGACCTATAAATCCTCAGCTTCTAGTCCAGAAGTGCCATAGACTCATTCTCCCTTTGCCACTGTGATGTTTGTGCCACAGCTGGATACTATGGGGTTAAATTTAGTATGTGGTGGGGCAATGAAACACTAGGTTAGCCATACATGGAACTGACACATTTATTCCCATAATTAGTGTTTTCAAATGACCATATAAATAAATAGTTGAACTGTCATTCTAGGAAGTGAGCAGATTTATCTCTGGAGTGTCACAGATATCTGCATACAATATTTTTACTTCCTTATGATTTATTTTTGATGTGGCTCACAAAATGATCAGGCAGTGCACAATGAAAGAAACTCTCCTGTGCTCCTTCTAGATTTAACTTGCTATCCCTATGTATTGGTAAAATAGCTTTGGTAGTACAGAGATGAAGTACTCTTTCATAACATATCCTACTACAAAGGTAAGGATGCTAACATTTCCATTTCCATTGACTGACAATAGGGAAACAACCTGCATCTCTTATTAAGTTGTATGCTTAAGTAGGGTTGTGTTGGTATCCATCTGTCTTGGGAGACAATAGACGAGTGTGCCTTCGGGAGTGAAGTTGGAGAGTTACAGTGTCTGCAGTGGCTCCAGAGCCATATGCAGGAGAGATATGTTTTCTTGCAGGTGGAGCAGAAGAAGGCATCTGGTTTTGCTGCTAAAGTTACACCATGGTGTTTCTTCTCTCTGCACTCCTACTAGTGGTCATTCCTCTGGTTACTGACTGACTGTCTCCAGACACTGTGATTGCCTCCAAAGGGTTTCCACATGGTGGGGTTAATGTTGCCAGCCTTCATGTCACATTTGCAGACATCTTTGTAACACAGTTAGTCTGCCAACAGACCTAGTTTATTATTATTTTTAAATTTATATACTACCCTTCATCCAAAGACAATAGGCCAGCTTACAACATAAAAACACAAAATACACAGCATAATAATAATAAACATACCCCCTTCTGTTACTCATTCATTTATCCCATACTTCCAGTGCATTTTCCCATGACTTTCCAAACCGCAGAAAGCCTGATTCTTTTTTAAAGTGGATTTGTTGAGCTAGTGCAACACAGCCTTTCAATCCAATTTAACGGCTCAGACCTAAGTTTCCAATGTGCTCTTGAATCCCACGTGCAAATACTGACTGTCTGGAGGCACCCTTAGGCAATTTATGCTTGCCTAATTGAAACAGCAACGTAAGATGATGTGGGGTGCTACATTTTGATGTTTCTTAGAGGCTTTTTTCTTCTTCTGAAATATGATTTGTCTCTTAAATTTCCTCTGAGTATCCATGATGAGTAGTGCAGAAATCTTTGTACATGTTGCCCAAGAGGATAAAAGATACAATATTGCCTTGGTCTAATCTCTTAAAACAATGGCTATTTAAATTTTCTGTCTCATAGAAGGAGTCTTAAAGCTATAAGTTGGTTAGAAATTGAGATAACCCTTATCTTTCTCTGCCCCTCCCAGTTATATGGGTTTGTGTGTGCCTGCTGTGATCCTGGGAAAAGCACTAGCAAAGTCAATACGATAACATTCCTGTCTGTAGGACCAATAAATAAGCCATAATCTTTGAGTTTTACATAGAGGTGCCTTTTCAGTTATTGCTGTTGCAACAGACCAACCTAATCTGCTTTTATTGATAATGCTTTTGTATAAATTGACCACACCTTGCAAAGAAGCAAACTGGCTAGAAAATGTGTGTGTCATGGTGGGGGGAGTGAGAGAGTGAGCTTGGGAGCTAGTTTGCTCAGCCAGTAATAGGTGTCAGTATCTTCAAAGTATGCTGTTTGTTGTGACATTTCTTTGTGTCTTCTCTGTATACTGGGAGAACCCTTGAGTGCCTCCCAGACCATTTACAGACACATTTACACAGTTTTCTTCTCATTTAGTGCTATATTTGTGTTAGCCTTCGCAAAGGGATAGCCATGCTGACATTCACTTATAGAAACAGGACTGAATGTGTACCCCAGTGCAAGCCTGGTTTGGACAAAATGCCAAATTGTGGTTTGTTTAAAATAAAGAAAGGAGGAAGAAAATGGATCTGTGTGGCTCATACTTATGCTGCCAACCCATGCTTGGGCATTATGTCTGAACCAGTCCTAGGGGTGTGACCACAAATGAAAATTATTTGAGGCCATTTACACTGCACCTTAGTTTTGCTTTAACCACGTTATTCTGTGCAGTTTTACAGGAAAGCATTTTGCACAGCAATTACTGGTTTTAAGTTTATTGTGGCAATTACATAATGAAGGAGATAATTGATTCTCCCTTCCAGACTCTTTTTATGATGATGTGAAACCAGTTTACCATCTTGCAGGGATGCACGCTTTGTTGTTTGTAAGTTGAAGCCTCCCATATTTGTTAATGAAATAGGTGATGTTTAGGGTTGGTATAACTGCCCTGAGGCATTTTGCTGCCTGAGAGGGACAGGATGACTTCCCCACTCCCCTTCCATGTTCAGAAGCTGACTCTGGCAACGAGACAGCATCCTTCACCACACCTGAAGGCATCAGCATGCCCAGGACAGGCCATATGGCACATAGAGTTCTGTCTTTCAACACTTCGTTACTCCTCACCCTAATTGGGTCATTGCCAACACGGATAGATGCTGCTGTGCAGCAGCATGTGTTGCATGGGCATGTGCTAAAGTTTCTGGACTGTGTGGCTTATGCTGGTTGCCTCTTTGCAATGCATGCTTCTTCAGTCTGGGGCTTTCCTGTACTGTGACGTGTTGAAAGAAAGTGACTAGGTGAGACATATAGCCATACTAGGCCAGTAACAAGCAGGCTCACTGGCACAGGAGGGTAGGAATGGCCAGGAGACTTAGGGGGAACATCCAAGGTGGCGTCGTTACCACCTGAGACAATTGCCTCATTCTGTAATGATAGGGTTGCCCCTGCAAAAAGCAAAGGCTCTCCCTATCATTATTTGTTGAGTTAGCTGCCTGTGGCTTGGATCCTAAGCACAGTTTCTTGGAGGTACGCTTCAAAATTGGTAGGATTTGCTTCCAAGTAATAAGATGCATAAAAGTGAGGTGCCAGATTACTACAGTTCTAGCAGATGAGTTTCCTTACTCCTTAAATTAAATATATCTACTACAGTGCAGTAGGGTATTGATTATCTGATTAAGCCCTTTAACTCATCAGAAATGTGAGGAGATAGTCGATAGAGCAGAAGACTCTTTAATCTCAGTGTCGTAGATTCAAGCCCCACACTGGGCAAAAAGATTCCTGCATTGCAGTGGGTTGGAGTCAGGGGTCAGCAAACTTTTCCAGCAGGGGCCGGTCCACTGTCACTCAGACCTTGTGGGGAGCTGGACTATTTTTTTTTGGGGGGGGGGAGAACGAATTCCTATGCCCCACAAATAATCCAGAGATGCATTTTAAATAAAAGGACACATTCTACTCATGTAAAAACACGCTGATTCCCAGACCATCCGCGGGCTGGATTTAGAAGGTGATTGGGCTGGATCTGGCCCCCGGGCCTGAGTTTGCCTACCCTTGGAGTAGACTGTTCTTGTGCTGTCTTCCAACTCTATTGTTCTATTCTCTACTACTGTCTAAAGTGTACAATACTTTGGACTGATCCCAGGATTTGGGATGGCTGGTGTTGAAGGAGTGCTATATTTAAACATATGAAAGGGATGAAACAATTACAGTGGTGCCCCGCAAGACGAATGCCTCGCAAGACGAAAAACTCGCTAGACAAAAGGGTTTTCCGTTTTTTGAGTCGTTCCGCAAGACGAATTTCCCTATGGGCTTGCTTCGCAAGACGAAACGTCTTGTGAGTTCTTGCG